TAAAAGCTGACACAATTTGCATTTATGCATATATTTTCTTTTATTCGATTTGCCCTCACTTATAAAAACGGTTCAGTCGTATTTCAAATTTTAAACTACCTGAAGTAACTGGCAGATGATGCGTTACACTTGAATCGATTTTATCGCCTGTTTCGTCTTATCATTTGTTGCTCTTTTCTTTTAATTTGTCTATTTCTTTTGTATTGGATTTCTGTGCGGTTTTAAGTGTGGTTTGTTTTGCTATTGCCCAAAGATGTATGTGTAACAGTTAACGGTAATCTTCACGCTGTTATCAACACTGTTCAATTGTTTATGATCACTTGCACTTCAAAATTGAACTTGAAAAGGAAAGCCAAGCGCGTATGGCACATGCACACATTCGCCGCGCGCTTGACAAAGGCACTAAATCTGATTTAAATTTTATCCAACTTGGACGCAACGCAAATCAAAAAACCGCAAAAGCGAAACAGTCAACGCGGCGTCGTTAAAATTAGCACTAAACTCGCATGCGTCGCCCAGCGAATGTGCGGCCTATGATTTCTACTAACTTGTACAGTGGGGCACGGCTTAAAAGAATCTATTTACATATGCCAAATTTGTAAGAAAATAATGTGCTTCAAATTAGTACAATAACTCTACTTATTTGGAACATTTTTATTTTTAAGTTTATGGTAAACTCAAATTTTATTATTTATTTGTTTTTTTGGTTTTCTCCAGATGGAATTACACATGCAGCAATAACTTATATTTTCACATTGTTACAGTTGCACAGATTATCAAAAGAGGAATCAGCATTTTATCAACAATTTTCCTGATGCTTGGTGTTTAGTAAGTTTTTTAAGCTACATTCCACTGTGCACAAAAGTGCGCTCGCGCGCTCTCTTTCTCTCTCGTATTCTCAGCAGTGGCGCTCGGCACCTGCGGTTGCAGTGTTAGTTTGTGTGACTATGTGCGTGTGTGTGTGTGTGTGTGTGTGTGAAGGGGAATGGGGAGCGAAGAGTTCTCTCTTTCTTCCACAGCATGTGTTTCTGCGACCGTGAGGAGGCTGTTCGTGCTCTTTCTTTTTGAAGATTTTTGTAAAATGTAAACAAAACGTTGTGCGAGTGAGTAACTGATGTTATTATTGTTATTTTTATTGTTGTTGGTGCTGTCGCCGTCTCGGTATTCTTCTGATAAACGCTAATTTGCATATTGCTGTTGCGCGTTTATGTTCCATGTTTTCACTAGTGTCAGCCATTAAATGATAAAATAAACGCTTCTTAAATATGAAAGCGATTAGGAAGGAAGTCGTTTACCACATATCTCTAAAACTTTTGGTCAACAAATTAATATCCTTATTTAGTATATTGTACTTGAGACGCAAATGATTGCTATGAGTACTCCAGTCCTCGATGCCATGATGGAACATCACCTCCACTACCAACAACTGCTCGTATAGCACATCCCAATCGATGCCAATTGTGGCAGCGCATGTTTCCAGCAGCCAGCGAAACGAACAGGGGAAGATCGTACGCAGTTTCTGCTTACTTGTATCATTAATCCTTGTTATATATCCGTGCAGCAGCCAACAATCGAAATTGGAAATTTTTAACAAAAGCTCATCCAGCTGCTGTTGCTCTGCGCCGTCTTCAGCTTGATTTGCATCACTGATTTCCGGCTTGGGCTGAGCTGAGGCTTCTATTTCTTCGGACAATGGTCGCATTTGGCGACGAGGCATCTTTAGCGGCACACGCAACGGATCCATGTTGCGCTCATCGAATGTTTGTATGGCTGCCAAGTTGTTAAGCGACACCTCTTCATTGTTCAGAGTTAGTACATAAGTGGGAGTGTCGCGTATTTTCCAAAACGGATTGTCAGTCTCTAAGGCTTCGCGGCGTTCAGCGCGTTCTCTCATTTTATTTGCATATTGCCGACCATAAGATGCAACAGGCTGACGAAACACAAAGCAGGGTCTCTTTTCTCGCCGCCGTAGTTCGTCAATCCAGGTCTGTGTATCTATGTCACAATTAGCGCGCCATTCCTTCTGTCGATTTGGTTGTCGCGGCAGCATTTGAAAAATGCCTGTCTCCTGGTAATCCTGCTGGCATGCCAACTCCTCTACGCGAAGAGATTTACCATGCACGGCTAACTGCTGAGCCAACTCTGTGGTTTGATTTTTAAATGGTGCGAGTTGGCGCTCTGTGTGATCTATTTTCATGAAGTCCGGAATCTGTACACTCATCTCGCGCTGCTGCCCTTGGCTGGCGTGGAGGAGAATGCGCTTAAAGTAGCTATGGGCCGGGGTTAAGCTAGGCTGAAACTCTATGTGATCCTTCGTTGCACTGTCGGCACAGGACTCGCCGAATTTGTTTTTCAGCAGTGTCTCAAATATGAGACAAATGTTCTCGTTCACGCGCTGCATGGCCGGTGTCATCAACATCTCGTTGTAGTTATATTCATGCTCTTTCTGTTTTTTCTCCTTCTTCAGAAAGTCGTCAATCTTGCGCCCACTCTGAGTAGCCGTACCAAATCGCTGTGCAAAGCTTTCGCTGTAGTGAGAAACTAAAATTTTACGTAACTCCACGAACTCCATCCATTCGGTGTAGACAAAAAGCGGCGTCACCGACTGCAGGTGCTCCTCTGTCTGCTGTTGAAGCTGTTTATTAATGATCATGGCCGATTCTGATATAGCGCGCTCCTTAACATCATCCAGGCCAAACAACAGCTTTAATACGTATATGATGTAGGCCATAACACGAGCCTCATAGCGGGGATATACATGTAGTCCGTAAATGGGTTCAAACGTAGGTGGCAGCACATCCATTAAACTGCCGACATAGCTTGCTATTAGCGGCGGCAAACTCAGTTCTAGTACATAGCGCTTTGTGAGCGCTTCCAGATCTGGTTGTTGGAATCCGTTCAGATTAATGAAACGGGACATGTGAGAGATCTGCAACCGCATGAACTGAAAAATGATAGTTAAGAAATTTTTTTAAAAGAGCAATAATAATGTTAAACTAGTCCTCGTACTTGACTGAATAAATGCTACGTTAGATCTTTTGAGCTTAAACTGATTTCAAGCTTACCTTATAGCGAATTTTATCCCGCTGATGACTGAACTCCATTTGCTTGATCAGCGTTTTGCCATGCATGGCCACATTGTCAGGCAAATAGCTCAGCATATAGCGACTGGTCAGATGCTCCTCATCAATTAATCGTAAAAGATCCGTCAGCTGGATATCGTCCTGGACTTGATTAAGCGCTATGGCCAGCACAATATACAGTTTTGTTATGTTCAGACAGTAAATATGCCGATCAAAATTGCTTAAGACCTTCGCTTTGGGGCGTAGCCCATGACATTGCATACTGCCCGAACTGTCCGCGCTGTGTTTGTCCAGATGCTTAAGTGGCATTTGCTTTTTCAGGGACTTGCGCGCATTGGTCGACCATTGTAGTTGGAGATTTTGGTTAGTTCGCAACGTGGATTCAGATTGGGCGCCCTTCTTGCCGTTATAGCCCGACTCGTCCAATTTGCGCTGAAAAAGAGAAACGAGAGCAAGACCTTTTGATGTCAGTACCGTGTAGATAACCAGGTGATTGATTAGCTTAGGTAATTTGTCAAGTCGTTTGCATATGCTTTGGCCCACTATAAATACGCAGCTAAGCCAGGAAAATATCAGTTCAGAATTTTGTCTAAAGCAACATCAACATTTTCTAAAATGGCTCTGCGTTTCGCTCTGATCTTCCTAGCACTTCTTGTGTTGGTGTACGCACCGCTGCCCACATCAGCGGCACCCCTAGAGCTAAACGAGGGTAAGTTTTAGCGGCTGAAAAGTGAGCTGATAATATAATTGTCTACACACAGCTGCTTTGGCGGAGGGCAATATCGTTCCTGAGGTGGGACCGACACCGTCACCTGCACCATCGGAGCCAGGCAAACAAAAGCAGCGCACTTTCTTCCTGTTGCTGCCGCTCCTGTTTCCCGACCAGTTTTACTTTTAATGTAAGGCACAGACAGGCCACTGAGTTTACTATGATATAGATTTAAAAAAAAATAATAAAGTTTAAACTTTTAGCATGCAAGCACCTTGGTCTTTCTCCATTCACGCCAGTTGGCGCGCTCATCCCCTTGATTTTGCAGTTGTTTATCCTGGCGTTCACGCTTTCGCTTGGTCTTCTTGTAATTATAAATGATGCGTGCGTCTCTAAAAGGCAGCATAATTATGAACAAAAAAAAATTAAATGTTAAAACCTCTTTCCTTACCTGGCCAAGGCACGCACATTCAACTTAGGCAAACCAAGCTCGTTGCTCTTGCTGAAGGCCACCTCCATGCGTCCCATGTAGGCAGCCCATACCTGCAGCGTCATAAGCTTGAGCTCTGGCTTGGCGCCCATGTTCAGCAGCTCCTCCAAAAAGCCGCGCAGCACGTAATTGTAAAACTCCCAAGATGTTATATCGTTGTCTTCTTCCTCAACTTTCGGCTTCTTTATGGTGCGTTGTGAAGCGTGCTTTGAAGTGTCGTTGAACGTATCTTCGGCGCTGATTTCTACAGCGCGCAGTTGCTCCTTCTTGGTGCCGCATTCGATGCAATAGTAGTAGCCTTCGCGCTCCTGGAACGTGCGCTCGCCACATACGTCGCACTCCATGTTGTCTATTTCCATTATTTCTGTCTCGTCCATTTTTCTTTACAAAAATCAACACACGTGCGGGAGCGACAAATGCTATAATAACAAATATTTTGATATGTACATTTGCATTAATCGATTATCGATAAAAAGCCGATAACATTTGCGCGCAATCAATAGCCATACAATGTTTGGTAAGTGGCGCAATTTAAAAAAAAGTACTAGTATTGACGGTCCTTGAATATAAGCAGCATAATAATAAGCAGCATTTGGCGGAAAAAAGAAATACGATTAAAGGAAAATTGCCTTTTAACACTAAGTGCTTGTAACTAGCAAAATGCTGACATGGCATTACACAACACTAAATCTGCCCGCTGCTCGCGCCTTTTGACCTATCCCAACGTTTCAAATGTGCTGAATAGGTCATTTACCTAATTAAATTGCGCCATTTATATAAGCTGAATTTGCTGTGCGTGTAAGACTTAGTCGCTTAATGGATAACTATATTTAGCAGGCTGCCTACTGCCTAATGACAAGTATTTAATTGCCTTGCCCTGCCGCAGGGCGCGAATACAAAAGCTAAACATTTGTGCGCGTTGAAAGCTTCCGACTGCAGTAGGCAGTCGCTCACAGACAGTCGGTTAGTGCAAGTGCAGCAGCGGACATGTGTTCACACGACAACGATATAGTTGCCGATTATCCAGATTTGGATTCTACTTTTGAGAATGAGCAGGAGCTGATATTGAAAAAGGAGCAGCTACAGGTGCAGGAACTAAGAGATTGGTTAGACGCAAATCCGAACATAAATGGCTGTAAGGCTTATGCCAATTTGCACTTTTTTCTGCGCACCTGTAAATTTGACGTTGATCGGGCTAAAAAGAAGCTTAAAACCTTTTACCAAATGCGTGCCGAGCGTACCGAATGGTTTGAAAATTGCGATCCCATGTTGCCCGAAATACAGGAGCTGCTTGCCTTGGGCGTCTTTCTTCCCGTTGACGGTGTCGACGAGCAGCAACGAAAAGTTGTAATTATTCGGACGGCGGCACACGATCCCAAACGACATACACAGAACAACGTATTTAAGGTACAGATAGAGCTGATACATTAACTAAAAGCGTAATGATCTCAAACTTTTGACTTCTTCCAGACAAGCAAAATGATATTGGATTTGCTATTAAAGTTTGAGCCAGATAACTGTGCACGTGGCATCGTTGCCATTATGGATATGCAGGGGGTCCAATTAGGTCATGCTCTGCAGCTGAATCCCAAGCTTATCAAGCGTTCCGTTGAGAGTTGGACGGCGTATCCATGTCAGCCCAAGCTTTTGGAGTTCACTAATACGCCTCGTCACGTCAACATTTTTCTAAATACATTTCGGTGCTTGACTTTTGCTTATATAAGTACATGTTTATATCTATATTAATATTTTCATTTTAGCGTATTTATGACGCCAAAGATACGATCCCGTGTCGCCGTGCGCCGCGAGGGCACCATGGTAAAGTGCATGCAGCTGCCAAAAGACTTGGGTGGTCAGGGACCCAGCTACAAAGAGCTGGCCATCAAATGGAAGCAATTGGTCGAACAGCACGCTGACTTTTATTTGGAGCAAGGCAAATACAAAAGCATAGTCAAGCGATAAGCGTCTGATTAACCAAAAAATGATTAGAACTGCAAGCAGACATACTTATAAATATTATACGAATATTTTCAACGTGCGGATTATCATCGGTAATCGGTTAATGTCTACAAATGGCGTTGCCTAGTATTTAAGGTTTCGTTTGTGCTAAAAACAATGCTCATTTTATAATGATAAGTATTTATAATGCACATTTCAATGTTTGCATCATTTTAACAATAGATAAGTGTACTCTTTGTTGCCTTGCTGTTATCGTCCACATTTTTCCAACGACCATAGACTCATTTTATTACCAGAGCTCTTTACTTAAAAAAAAAAGAAATCAATTCGACTTTGTAAAATAGCATAAACGGGTTATTAAAAGTATATCTGATACGAGGATTACTTCATTATATTCTCGATTTCTTTATTAGTATAAAATAGTATATCAAAAATGTTTATCAAGTCTATAATTATTATCATTTAATGGGGCCATCGAGTGCCGTCTCATGTTAAGGGTTTGCATTGCAAAAGACTTCTCATCCGTTTATCGATATTAATAATAAATACGTACATACATACAAAAGAACATAAACAAGTTAATTTCGCACAGTTTGTGAACAGAATGTTGTTTATAAGCGGGATTTGTTAGTGTATCAATGCGTGCTGTCTGTTGTTTTTGCTTTTTAATATACATACATATATAAATATAAATATGTTTTGTATCTTAAAAGTACGTGTCACATATAAAAATATATAGTAGATGTTGGTCATCGATTCATTATCATCACCAAACAGCGCACTACCGAACAGTTTTAGTGGGACCACATGAAGCACTGAACAAAACTTAAAAGCTATAAACGAGAAAAGGAAAGGCGGTAACTAACTAAAGCGTAATATAAATAGCGACAGAGTACAATTGAAAGTAAAGCGCAGTCGCGCCCGCCCATCACAAGTCCAATTGCAAGCCGCCGCTATTGCCACCACTGTCCACCAATTGCAGTGATTCCTATATCTGCCGTTCATCCTTTGCCGTCAACTTGTCGATGAGCTCTTGCAGTGGCGCCAGCTCGCGTCGTTCAATCAGATTGAACTCTTGCACAAAGAATATAAAATGCTTAAAGGACGTATTCAAATGGGCCTCCTCGCCCAGCGTCACCACCTCAGAGAAATGCTGATGATAGATGTGCGCATAAACGCGAAACAGACGCTTCAGTATAGTTTTTGCGGAGGCAAGAAAATTCTTTGGGAATGGTACACCAATTTTGGATGGGAACAATGTTTCATCGTCCAGCTGATCCTGTACCCAGGTCATTAGATAATCAATATACTTGGGTGCGCTGCATTTAATGGGCTTCTTAACTGTTAAACCATCCGCCCAATGGTATTCGTATTTCGGACCAGCCGACATAATGCCACAGCTCTCCTCCGTACAAAACTCTGTTATTGTGCCATAGAGCATATTAATCTGATTAAAGAAATCCACGGCTATGGGGAAAGAAGAAAGAACAAATTAGTTATGAAAACGTGGGATATTTTCAATACTCACTGTTGACGGCCACCCATTCGTTGAGATCCTCGCCATCGGGCAGAGCGACTGCATTTCGCAAGTTTCCAGAGCCAAGTGTGGCGGCTGCATGCTTCATGAGATCATATTGATGTGTGCCCTCCGGTATGTTCTTTTTGGGTTTGAAGGTTTTGCTTGAACGTGAACCGCTAAAGTCGACAAAAAAATGACGTTTTGTATTGGTATGCCACGGCAAACAACCCCAGGCAACTACAAGTGGTGGAGCCATCGACTCACACCCACAACATTGGCTGAACAAAGCACGAAAAGGGTAGAGCTCTTTGTTCGCCACTGGTTGGGTCTGTTTCAGTTGCAAGTGCAACAGTGTTTTCAGTTCACACGCACATACTTTCGTGTATGTAAAATGAACATTATACGCACATATGTTCGTATGTATTCCAGTTACTACACACATATATACTTACAACAAAAATTCCATTGCCATGCAGTTATTGTTGCCGTTCACTTGCCACGAAGGTAAACTTGTCGACAACCTCTTTAGCAATATGCTTATTTCTTGTAAGTTGAACGTCTTGGACGAGTTGGAATTAAGCGTAATGTGGAAAAACAGTTTTTAATTATAAATCTTTACAATCAAAAAAATTGTTGGCAGGGCAAAGTGTAGGGCTGGCAACAAATACCGACAACATCGATATTTCGAACTCGATAACCGATACGTATGCACTTACGATTATTTTTTGACAGCGACGTATGCGTTGCCACATGTTAGCGAATGTGTATGCGTCCGGTGTGTATACACTGGAATTGTAAAAGTGTGTAGACACTGATCGTTCTGTTTAGCACGTGGAAAAACAACTCGCATTGGCTTCTCGTGAAGAATAGAAAAGTTTTGTTAATTTTACGGCATATTTACGCCTTAAATATGGTAATTATATATGAAATATTGTTGCGTACTTTTCCTTATATAAATATGTTAAATATGTCGCTTATACACAATCATAACTAACCTCAGTATGAATTTTGTGCGGAAGCACCAGACAACGTGGAAAGAAATGCAGATGTTTAAGCTAAAATTTCAAATATTGTATTAATCTGTATTTCTTCACACTTGCAGTCGAAACTGTACGTGCTGTATGAGCATGCGGCAGGCTTTGCGCTATTCTCCGTCAAGGAGTTTGAGGAGGTGTCCATGTTCCTGCCACAGGTCGAGTCCTCCGTGACGGACATTGCTAAATTTAATTCGATTGTAAAGCTGGCTGGATTCGCGCCGTTTAAGACGGCCATTGCTGCACTCGAAAATATTAATGCCATATCTGAGGGCATAGTGCCGCAGGACTTGCTGCATTTCCTCGATGATTTCTTTGCCAAGTTGAAGAAGAAGAAGTGCACCCTGGGCATTGCGGATGCCAAGTTAGGCGCTGCTATCACCGAATCTGTGGGGGTACAGTGCAGCCACTTCGGTGTCGTGCCCGAGATACTGCGAGGTGTGCGCTTCCACTTTGCCAAGCTGGTAAAAGGTAAGTCAATTTGCAAGTCCTTACAGTATCAAATAACTAATTAAGTTTTACGTTCCTAGGCTTTACTGACAAGTCAGCTGGAGTGGCACAACTGGGTCTGGGACACAGCTACTCTCGCGCCAAGGTCAAGTTCAATGTGCATCGATCGGACAACATGATCATTCAGTCGATAGCGCTGCTGGATCAGCTGGACAAGGATGTAAACACGTTCTCTATGCGCATACGCGAATGGTACTCCTATCATTTCCCAGAACTGGTGAAAATTGTGCCAGACAACTATATGTTTGCTAAGGCGGCCAAATTTATTAAGGACCGCAAGGATCTGACCCAAGATAAGCTTGAGGAGCTCGAGCAGATTGTCATGGACTCTGCCAAGGCGCAGGCCATTATCGATGCTGGAAAAATGTCCATGGGCATGGATATATCCATTGTGGATCTAATGAACATTGAGCTGTTTGCCGAGCGCGTAGTCAAGCTCTCCGAGTACCGCAAAAAGCTGTCCACATATTTGCACAACAAGATGAACATGGTTGCACCGAATCTTCAGTCGCTCATTGGCGATCAGGTGGGTGCTCGCCTCATCTCGCACGCCGGCAGCTTGACAAATCTGGCCAAGTATCCCGCATCGACAGTACAAATTCTGGGCGCCGAAAAGGCACTCTTCCGTGCGCTCAAGACGCGCTCCAACACTCCCAAATATGGTTTGATCTATCATTCGTCGTTCATTGGACGCGCTGGCCTCAAGAACAAGGGACGCATTTCGCGTTTTCTGGCCAACAAATGTTCGATTGCCTCGCGTATTGACTGTTTCCTCGAACAGCCGACCAGCGTGTTTGGCGAGACGCTAAAGCAACAGGTGGAAGATCGCCTGAAGTTCTACGAATCGGGTGATGTGCCGCGCAAGAACATTGAGGTAATGAAGGAGGCCATTGAGGCGGCTAACCAAGAAGTTGCAAATGCACCACAGTCCGACAAGAAAAAGAATAAAAAGAAGAAGCGCACGGCTGAGGCTGATACAAATGGGGCTACCAATGGCAATGGGACGCTCGCAGCCGAGACAGGTGCCGACAATGGCAATGCTGAGGCTGATGGCGAGCCCAAGAAGAAGAAAAAGAAGAAGAACAAGAACAAGCAAGCCGTGGAGGCGTAAAAACTTTTGTGTGGAGAATGTACACATTTTACATTGCTGCTTAGTTTTAAGTTCAAACTTTATTATTTTAACTTACTATTCTTTTCTGTATTTTATGATACACCGCAAATTAAATAAACATAAATACAATTAATTATTTTTAAATTGATTTTGTATTTTCACACATTGGTTTTATATACATACACATAACTGTTTAATTATTGCTAATGTTTCTTTATTTATTTTTTTTTTATTTTATTATATATTTTTTTTTTTTTTTTTGTAACAATTTTAAAGACAATTCAGCCGTCCTCCCAACTGTTGCGCTAAAATATCGCTTTAGTACAACCATTAATTATATTTTATTGCATTTATGACGAACATTTAAACACGCAAAAGTATTTAAACTTCGAGTGGACAACAGGACGGATATGGAATTCTTTTTTTTTTTTTCTTTTCGGTATCGGTTTTGGAACTTCTGAGGAAAATGAATAAGAGCTCAGACTACAATTAATAATACATTTGGATATTGGGAATTATAATTTGCTTCAACAAATAATCAGGGTTCGCATATTTTATACAAGAAAAGAGACAAAGGGTGTGTGTGCGTGTGGTGTGTGTGTGTGTGGAACGTCATTAGGCTAACAAATATCATTGGAACAAATCAAACGCTGAGGAATTATTATTATTGCTGCTGGGCTGCTGATGCTGTGGCTGTTGCTGCTGGAACGCACCGAAGTTGGCAAATGCTGCTGGCTGTGTCTGCATCTGTGGAATGTTTTGTTGCGGCGCCCCAAATATGGGGCTGGGGCTGGTCAGTGGTGAGGGCGTGATACCCGGAAATGCGCCACCCGTTTGCACATTCAACGGCGCCTGCGTCTTGGCGGGACTCTGCGTTTTCAGCGCATTCATCGAAGGTGCTGGCGCATTCGATTTACCAGCTTTGCTTATCAACAGATTATCCAAATCAATATTCAGATTGCCAGCCTTCAGATTACCCGACCAGGTGGCACCGACATTTGTGGGCTGTGCGCTGGCCAACGCCGCGGCTCCATTTGTATTGATATTGTTGTTGATGTTGTTGCTGCTGGAGATGGAAATCGGCTGCAGCAGATTGTCGCCCGTGACAGCAGCAATTGGCGGCAGCATGTTATCTGCAAAGAGCGCACAAAGAATGCTGATCAATTTTGGGGGAAATCGTAAATCAACAGGTATCCATATAATTAAGCAG